CACAAAAAAAAGAACCCAATATACGTTTTCCTACTCCTGACATGCATGAGGATAGTACTGGGGATTCTTAGGCTTTATTTATTGTTCCTTGTACCTGTAGCAGGACCTACAAACAATAGTGTGCACTTTGCCTTCAGAGAGAGCAATTAATCCAAATTTCTTGTCACATTGATTACAAGATGGAGAGCCCACTCCACTGGCTCCCAATCATCACTCTGTGACATGAAGCACTTGGCGACAGGATGGTCACAGTGCTAGGCACGCACAATTGAACACACTTCCAATACAAAACAATGGTGCATAAATGTGGCAGCATTTTTTTGTGTCAATGTTTTTTTGGATGTGGGAATTATTATCCAGAAGTAGACACAGATTTTACCTGCCTCCAATTTTGCTACTTGGATGGCCTGCTTGAAATGTACCAGTTTTGAAACTTTAATTTGAATCGTTTACTTAGCAGAAATTTGAACTTAGCATTGCAAACCACAAATAAATAGCGAAAGACTGCCAGTGTTTGTCATCTGAGAAATTCTGAAATATTTATGTATTTAACATGGGCATCAGCCTAAAGTAATAATATTCTTTTTTAAATTTGGGAAAAGTATGTCTTTTTTTATAGTTGACCCTATGCAAGGAAGCCATAGGCACAAGAAGGACATACTGTCTTGTGTGTACAGCGTATTGTACAAATATACTAATATATATATATATCTGAACTCCAAGCAAAATAATTATTGTCTACATACAAAAGAGGCATGTGTATTGTTTGTTGAATCTTTGAGTCATTTGTGTGTTTCCTTTACATATGTGCAGTAATGCAGCAAGAAGCAACTCCTGCATTGCCCCTGTGCAGGAATTTCCCATGACAAGGACCGGTCACTGCTGCTCTCTACCCTTGAGTAGGGTGACTGGTCTTATATTCGCCCCCCTTTAGTTTTCTACAGGCAGCCTGTAGTGGGTGGGGCTGCTGTGTCCCACCCACAGCTCTGCTTTCTGCAATCTATGTAAAGCACACCGCTACTTTTACAAGTTAATATCTGGGTTTGTAAAAGTACTTGGTGCAGGAAAAGTGTATTTACACTATATTGCCAAAAGTATTAAGACACCCCTCCAAATCATTGGATTCAGGTGTTCCAATCACCTCCATGGCCACAGATATATAAAATCAAGCACCTAGCATGCAGACTGCTTCTACAAACATTTGTGAAAGAATGGGTCACTCTCAGGAGCTCAGTGAATTCAAGTGTGGTACAGTGAAAGGTTGTCCCTTGTGCAATAAGTCCATCTGTGAAATTTTCTTGCTACTAAATATTCCACGGTCAACTGTTAGTGGTATTATAGCAAAGTGGAAGCAAATGGGAACAACAGCAACTCAGCCACGAAAAATGAGAGCGGGGTCAGCGCATGCTGAAGTGCACAGTGCGCCAACTGCCTGCAGAGTCAATAGCTATAGACCTCCAAACTTCATGTGGCCTTCAGATTAGCACAACAACAGAGCATAGAGAGCTTCATGGAATGGGTTTCCATGGCTGAGCAGCTTCATCCAAGCATTACATCACCAAGTGCAAAGCAAAGTGTCGGATGTAGTGGTGTAAAGCACACCGCCACTGGACTCAGAGAGCAGTGGAGACTTGTTCTCTGGAGTGACAAATCACGCTACTCTGTCTGGCAATCTGATGGACATGTCTGGGTTTGGCGGTTGCCAGGAGAAAGGTACTTGCCAGACTGGATTGTGCCAAGTCTAAAGTTTGGTGGAGGGGGAATTATGGTGTGGGGTTTTTTTCAGGGGTTGGCCCCTTAGTTCTAGTGAAGGGAACTCTTAAGGCATCAGCATACCAAGACATTTTGGACAATTTCATGCTCCCAACTTAGTGGGAAGAGTTTGGGGATTGCCCTTTCCTGTTCCAACATGACTGAACACCAGTGCACAAAGCAAGTCCATAAAGACATGGATGAGCGAGTTTGGGGTGGAGAAACTTGACTGGCCTGCATAGAGCCCTGACCTCAACCCGATAGAACACCTTTGGGATGAATTAGAGTGTAGACTGCCAGCCAGGCCTTCTCGTCCGACATCAGTGTCCTGACCTCACAAATGTGCTTCTGGAAGAATGGTCAAACATTCCCATAGACACACTCCTAAACCTTGTGGACAGCCTTCCCAGAGGAGTTGAAGCTGTTATAGCTGCAAAGGGTGGGCCAACTCAATATTGAACCCAACGGACTAAGACTGGGATGCCATTAAATTTCATGTGTGTGTAAAGGCAGGCCGACCAATACTTTGTGGCAATATAGTGTATATCCTTGGCTATTTAAGAATATATTTAATGAAAGTTTTTGTGCCTGGAGTTCAGCTTTAAAGTGTACAATATGTAAACTCTAACAAAGAATGTGTCTTTATTTGCCTTTGGTCTGTTAAATATACCATTGAAAGCGTTGTGTTATGTAAATAAGTGTAACAACGAATCCTTTTGATCCTGTCACAAATCTAGTAAGCTGATGCTTCCTGTATAGCCTATGCTGGCTGTTATCAGTTAGCATTTTCCCAGTTCTCTCTGTAGACTACAGAACACCTCCCCCATGTTATGGAGAAGAGAGGAGGACGGGTTCTGTAGACCTAAAACACTTTCCTCCTAGGCTGACAATGCCGCTCCTCCATACATAAACAGTGAGTGAATGTTATCACCCTAGGACGAGGAGTTTTTTTTACTGACATGCTTACCTGGTGAACTTAAAGGGGAAAAAAGAGACTGAAAAAATAATGCAGCCATCACAAGCAAGGAATGGTGAGACGCAATATATAAAAATGGTGTTTTTGATATAGATATGCTTTAATGTTTCACTGTCCAGTCTTCTGGTTCATTTGCTCATATGCTGTGAATTCATTGTGGTCATATTTCCAGCGGCACTTCTTCAGTACAGTTTATACAGCATAGAGGTGCCATTGTTTAGTATCAGAACACAGCTAATGTTTAGCCGCATACTCCTGACTCAGGTTGGTGTCCCCAGTTTTCTTTTGATGTTAGCAACAAAACTCTGCATTTTCATCCCTCAACCATCTAATTTGACAGAGAAGGGACATCACCACACCAATGAGTTCATTCCCCTGCTCCAAAAGTATTTAGACATTTCAAAGCAAGGAACGAGATGTAATAAAAGCTATCTACAAATGTAATTAGTTTGCTGTCTTGCCTTCTATCATCACATTTGACTAAAACAGTAGACGTAGCCTGTAAACACACATTTCTTTTCATAAAATATTTAATAAATAGCTGTTCAAACTATGAACTCCATCCATAAGAAGTGAGGTGGGCGCTCCAAAAGTTACAACATATCTTTTATAAACCACATCTAAACCTCATTTAAAAAGCCATATTGGCAGCAAAATCCTTTAAAAAAAAAGTATGTATGCATGTAACATTTGTGCTAACATTTACTGTACATACATGCAGCATACATAGACCCTGTTGACCGCTGCTTCTCAGAGCTGAAATATCAACGGCGGCGCTGCTGAATCTTATACTGCTGCAAACAGATACATACAAACTATATGCCGTATGCTGCGTTTTTGACACTTGTGTGAATGAGCCCTTTAAAAGTATAATCTTTACTGTAATAGTAACAGAATGGTTCATGTAACAAATTGGGTTTATACATGGCTTAGTGTGTAGATATCCCAGGCCATTCCCTAAAGTTCGACCCTATAGAGCATGTCTGGGCCTTTTATGGTCCCCAGGCCACATCTGTTCCTTTGGCTGTCCTTGTCCAGCCCGCGATGCCTCCACTGTCTGCTTCGGAAGCTGACAGGCTCAGAGAGGCATGCTGACAGATGACCATGTGGAGAGCTGCAAGCACTGGACCTGTGCTTGTGTAACCTGGACCGACAGACACAGAGATAGATAACTGGTAGAGCTGCAAGCACTGGAAGGAGAGAGTCTGAGAAGATCTGTACAGCAGGGAGGCACGGCTTTGGTGGGAGAACATGGGGATGTCTCTAAGGCATATGCAGTACCTAGGAGACGTCCTGACACTGCTAACCAGGCAAGTTCTTCCTGTCAGCGCCAGATCCGAGCCTGCACACTGCAAGCTCCAGGACCTGTGCACCTGTTCTTCACTCCAGGTCAGGATCTGCAGAAATCCACGCTGTACCAATCTCAGGCTCTCTCCTTCCAGTGCTTGCAGCTCTGCCAGTTATCTCCCTGAGCCTGTCAGTCACACATCAGCACTCAGAACAGCAGATCAGTTAATGAACCTGTGTGCCTGTCAGCTCCCTCACTGCTTCTACCAGCCTGCCGTACACGAACATTGTGACCAGCAGATCAGCAGAGGACATTCTTTCACTACTGCTTCTAGTAGTCATGAGAGTGCACACTATTTCATGAGAAGTCACCCCTATTATTCCTAGCACCAGGGTTTCATTTTCTATATGTTTACGTACTTAAAGCGTTAACCCTTAAAGGTAACTGCACCTGTTTGAATTAGATATAAAAATGCTGCAAACTGCTTCTCTAGATATTATTTTGCCACAGCACAGAGGTTATGCCGCCATGCTCTATAGACTGCACAGTGCTGTTAGTGTAATGTGTTTTCATGCACTGGGAGCTAGAGGGGAGGTATTTAAAGTTTTACTAAACCCACAACAGTAAAATCAGTCTGTATATGCAGTAAAGCATGCTTGTTATACTCACTGTGGAACCTAAGGGGTTAATCCTCTGCATTGTGTAAAAAGGGTGTTTGATCCTGTCTTCTCTGATCCTCCCCTTCTTCCACAGTCCCCAATCCATCTGATAGAACAGAGCCGTGGAGGCAAGCTGCACATGCTTCATTTGGTGTGTATTGCTAGAGAGGTTTTTTTTTTTCTTGGGAGAGTGCATGTGAGGGCCAATCAGCACTGTCCAGACAGAGGGTCAGGGGTCCTACAGCCTCATAGGACAATTATGGGAGAATGAAAACTCCTCCTACAAGATTTAACCAGTGCTCTGCCAGACACTGGTATAATTCACAACTGCTGATGAGAAAAGGTATTTAGCAGTTTATATTTACTAAAATAATTGCATGTTCTGTGGACTGTGGGAGACCAGATATAGTGAATGCAGGGTCCTGGGTTTAGTAACACTTTTAAGAGCTTTCTGGAGGTGGATAAAAAAGGGTAAACGCTCTTTCATAGTCCAATAAGCAGGCAGATGACAAAGAAAGGTTCAATTGGAAAGAGTGGTCTTTGCTCTCTAGGCTATACAGTTTGGCAATGGTGTTTAAATCATAAGACTATCTGAACAGAATTACATGTATTGTATATTGGCAGATAAAACAGTTCAAATATTTAAACTCAATATATGTCTGATTGGCCAGGGGCCTATTTAAAATAGCCATTGCAGTCACTGAATATGGATATATGGTAATAGATTTTGTTCCTTTTCAGACTCCTAGGTGGCCTTTTATAATGGTACTCTTCCCCCACTTTCCTCCATTTCTCTCATTTTACACATAAATAGAATCTCTGCTGATCTGCTAACTCATGTGCACAGAATTGACCCGCTAGCCCCCTCCCCATCCTTCTTTTTTTTGTGGGTACGTCAGGCCGAATTTTTATCAGCGTGAAGGTCGCTCACATGACTTTCAATAGCCGGAGATGAGAAGGGAACTCTGCACAATAGGAGCCACACTCTCCCCTTAGGAGACACTTGCCGCACCAATCACTGCTTTTAATTAACATGCTAAAAATAGGAGCCACTAATACAAATTGCAGCCTGTCGCCCAACAAAAGCCCAGACCAGAGCGGCCTTTGATGGCCAAGTTTATGGTGCTTGCTCTGGAGGTTACAGAGAGAGAGAGAGGAGAGAGTGTTTTTTTTTTTTTTTTGATGCTGATTCCCCTAGTCACTCTGGGCCTCCCGCCATTTGCTGGCTGTCTCATTTGCATTTTGAAAGACATTAAGGCCGCTAACGAGGTTATTGGGCATTGCAGTGGTCTCCTGTGGCCACACGTAGAGCTGGACCTACAGCAGTGTGAGCTGGCATAGGTTCTGTGACTCTTTATGTGGGATGAGAATTGGCTTCATCCTATAAATGTACGTACAACACACAAAATGCTACACTCCTTGACTTTTGCAAACAGCGACAAGTCACTGCACAACAGCACATACTTCTAGAACAAGCAAATCCATATTGGCGAGGGAACATAATAGTACATATGTGTGTCCGCAGGACAATGTCTTTTGCAGGTCAGTGTCACCACGGTTAAGGCATGCTTTGGCACTGTCCTGCCTCCCTCTAACTGTCTGACCTGTTCTCTTGCAGACTTTAACTTTGCCCTGTACCCGCCATCTATGATAGCGACTGGAAGCGTGGGAGCCGCAATCTGTGGGCTGCAGTTGGAGGACGCAGAAAACGAACTCTCTGGCGATAGTCTGACGGAGCACTTGGCCAAGATTACTAACACAGATGTGGTGAGGATCCTATTCATCTCCATACTTTCTCCCTCTTGATAATTTTTAAGTGTGTACAGCATCCTTGGAAAAAGAAGGTAACACAAACATCTCTGTGAAAAAAAAAGCTTTGGAATTCCCCCGAACTTCTTGATCTTCATATTATATTTGCAGATGTGGTTTTCTCGAGGTCACTGAAACTGTTTGATAGTTAAAATATTGGTAAGGGTTCAGGAAGGATTGAATGCACAAAGGATAATGGTACCCATGCTTGTTGATATTTTTTATGGCATATAACACTGTATATGATATATAAAGAGATGTATTGTGTATATATATATATATATTGCACTGAAAATGAGATCTTCTTACAACCCTATGCTGGCATACACTTCAATTTTTAATTCTTTAGTCAGTAAATCCCGTAAAACAGACATTGTGGTACATTATTAAGGAGGTACAATCATAAATACAAGAATATTTTGTTTGAATGTACTGGACAGTCAAGATATACACAAAGTAAACCTATAAGAATACCAATAGCAATGGGGGAGATTTGCTAATACTGGAGCATTCAGAATCTGGTGCAGCTGTGCATGGTAGCCAATCAGCTTCTAACTTCAGCTTGTTCAATTAAGCTTTGACAATAATACCTGGAAGCTGATTGGTTTCTATGCAGAGCTGCACCAGATTTTGCACCATGCAGTTTTAGTAAATAACACACAAAGAGGTAGATTTACTAAAACTGGATTACTCAGAATCTGGTGCAGCTGTTCATGGTAGCCAATCAGATTCGAAATTCAGTTTGTTCAATTAAACTTATTTCTTAACTAATGAATAAAGTAACTAAGTGCATTATTTACTTTAATAGATTGATTCTAGTTAGATTTGGGAGAGAGGTAATGATGTCCTTTAACACAGTGCAGAGCAACTTTAATGCAAATGATCATCACTTGTTAGTACAACTCAATTAGTAAAACAATTTACATAAAGATATGCTTCTTTCTTCTAAACGTTTGTTAAGTCGTATTGTTACTTGCATGGCCACCTGGCTTAAAATGTTACTAAACCCACTTCAGTAAAATCTGTTTGTACATGCAGTAAAGCATGCTTGTTATACTCACTGTGGAACCTAAGGGGTTAATCCTCTGCATTGTGTAAAAAGGCTGTTTGATCTTGTCTTCTCTGATCCTCCCATTCTTCTACTGTCCCAAATATATCTGCTGATACTACAGAGCTCTAGAAGTCACTGCACATGCTCACTTTAGTGTGTATTTCTAGAGTTTTTTTTTTTCTTTGAGAAGGTGCATGTGATCAGCACAGGGTCAATCAGCACTGTCCAGACAGAGGGTCGGGGGTTATGCAGCCTCATAGGACAGTCAGAGCAGAATGAAAATTCCTCCTGCAAGCTTTAGCCAGTGCTCAGCCAGACACTGATAGAAGCCAGGAGACTGCTATATACTGCTGATGAGAAAAGGTACTTAGCAGTTTATATTTAACTAGAAAAGCTACAATTTCTGACGAAATTGTGTGAAGTGTTCTTGCCTCCACCAGTAGTCTACAACTGGAGTGGGCGACGAAACTGGGTGGAGTGGCTTGAGTAACTGTTGTGTGGTTGGAGTGGCTGGAGTAACTGTGAAAAGGTTGGACTGGGCAGAGTAACTTTATGGAGTGGGCAGAGTAACTGTGTGGAGTGTTTGGAGTGAGTAAAGATAGTAAACATTACACTAACCAATTGATTGATCAAATTTAAAAAGTGAACATGGCAAGTGAGAATCACAAGACCCAGACCTACATTTTGATGCATAGTATGGCTCTGAAATACTAAAAATGAAGGCACAGTCGCAGTTTAGATATTTCCCTTCAAATTTGAGGTGTCTAGAGTGGAGTTTCAATGAATGTCAATGGGAGGCATGAGTTGCAAACAAATGGTCATATTGTGAAAACTATCAGGACTATGGCTTAGCCATAGACATTTTTAGTTGCAGCAGGGATAGCTGAACGTTTTGATATAAGATTTGTGTAGGTGGGCTTGAAAATGAGGGAGTGATGGCAGTTTAGAAATCATGTCCTGATTTTTCAGCTCCCACTCTAGCCTTTGTCAGCTCCCACTCTAGTTTTGAACATTCCGCCATTCATTCCTATGGGACCAATTTCACCACAAAAACGCTGATATTTCGTGAACCATTCGGCGAAACGTTCCACAAAGTAATAGCACACCAATCGGGAACAATCCGCACGTTTCGGTATATTACTGTCTATGTAGTGTAAAAACTGTGGGAGGAGTTAGGGTGGTAAATTTGGCTATAATAATAAGAATATATATGTGAGGTAACAGTAAGTGGTCTTGCCATGCAAGAACACTTAATAAGTGCATTTCTGTGTGCTGTGTGCTGTGTACTGTGGGAGACAAGATATAATGAATACAGGGTCCTGGGTTTACTAACACTTTCACCCAAAGGACTTTTTGTTGATGGAGAAAGTTTTATGGCTCTGTGGAATTGCACTGTGTGCTATGGCTTGTTTGTTGTTCTAAGCATGACACTATTTAGGGCTTAATTCTCTGGTACAGGGTCAGACTGCTATGATTATTCATTTCTAATCACATAAACAATGATATATAAAGAGATGTACCATATAAATTACCTGTTTTTGGTTAGTATTGTTACTTTGATCTAATTCTGCATTCTCATTTGCAGCTCATCAGTGCATGCAAAATTGTGCAGATCATATGCACATTTTTGTGCCACATGCACAGGGCATCCCTTTTCTTTTGAAGAGGCTGCCCTATGCTCACAAACACAGCAAAGTAGCGTATGCACCTTTTTGAGCATCAAGTTTTGCATACTTTTTAACTGCGTGTTTTGCTGCAAGTTTTTTCACGTGAAGAACGTGTCTTTTTCCATGTATCTGGGGTACCATTAACAGTGAATTGCGACACAAGCACAACAGTGATTACCTGCGCCTGCCCTGCACCCAAAGCTGATTGTTTGCAGGTAATTGCTCTGTGAGTGATTGGTCACATCTAGCTGTGGAAATTGTCAGCATCCTATTACTTTGCATGGGGCTTCCACCTGTAGTTAATCTCCGGGAACCCCTGCTGGGTCTCCCTCATGTAATCACTAATGGCCCCATTCGTAAGTATGAAAGAGGCCTTACATACACCTTAGACCTCCACCATTGAATCCCTTTAGATTGGAAATGATGGGGGGGGGGAAATAATAATTCAAATTTTTATATACCATATACCTCCATTAATACATTTGGAAATGCTCCTTTCTTTCAATCTGACCTGGAAAAAAACTGTAATTAGCACCTAAACTCCACAAAGATTCATTTTACTTCAATGTGATTGAAGTATCTAATGTCTAAATTCTAGCCTTCTGTATGACAGTCTAAACCAGCCTTTCTCAACCAGGGTTCCCAGGCACCCTGGGGTGCCTTCAGGCTTCTTCAGGGGTGCCTTGGAAAAATGCCCAAACATTGTACACAAGCCAGCAGGTGGATCAATCCTGGAGCAGTGCAGCACTGTAGCCACACATTCACAGTAAGCTGAATTAGGTAAATGTAACTGGCTGGACCAACAGGTGTTTGTGGGACTTTTCAGTTACAGTAAACTGCAACTGAATATTCATTTATAATTATGTGCTGCAACTGTTTTTTAAATTGGGAATTCCAGCTCTGCAAAGTACTGCAATCAGGTGTCCTTTTATGACACAGAGAATAGCTGCGATTCAACGG